TGCTCTTGAGGGGCTAAAGCTAGAGTAACAAAACGATAGGTGCATGGAGGAATGTGTACCCTCCGCCGCACTGGAGGAATGTGTACACCAATTATTCTTTCTATTCACAGTGAAGATAATTAACTGCAAGGATTTGGATTATCTGGGGATGGTAAGAAAACAGCGACCAATTTGGGACATTATTCTGGCCACTAGCTTAGAATTTGTTTGCTGCGATATCTTTGTGTTTTCTTGCACTAGTAATAGTTGAACGAAACATTACCCTCTCCAGAATAGAAAGCGTCCGAAACAATCTGTGGCTTCGTGGGAACCAAAATTTTTACTTGGTTTCGATCGGAAGTACTGACAATATCGAAAACCATTTGTACTTTCGTGTACAAGAATCTCGACAGGGATTTCAGAATAGTTCGAATGTACACGCCGAAACTGCACCGCACCGAATTGGGGACGAACCTTGTTGGGAATTCGGCATTTTCGCATGCATCGCCTTGACGTGTTTCCCGTTCGAACTCCCAATTGATCCACCTCTCCATCTCGTGGGCAGGATGCATCACCGCCCCAGCCAATGCCAGCTCCTCTTCCCCAAACAGCTTTGTCCTCGCCGTCCGATCGACCCACGGGTTCCTCCTTCTGGCGGTGGTGACTTGCTTTGCGGTCGTCGATTCTCTCGACTCGATATAACGTGGATCACGAACCGATAAGGATCACCTCAGGTGGTCCAATTAACCCAGCAACAAGCTCCGAGTGTGCGATGGCGCAAGATCATTGGTGCGATGGTGTACGCTGCATCCCAGAGGTACCCCGCACAGCTTCTTTATGGCGCGACAGGAGTTGCAACCCATTTTGAGTTTCGTCGTGAGGGCCATCTTGGGCGTTTGTGCATCTAACGATTTTGAACCCCAGCTTGACACAGCGGGCGGTTGTGCTGGTGCTGCAGACGCCCCCTCAATTTTGAGGGTTGACTGGAATGAACCTGAGCTGGCAGCAAGCTCACCGGAGCTACAGTAGCGTGACAAAAATGATGTGTGACACTATCCGCCGCATTGGATTATTCCACCTTATTGTCGCATTGTTGTTTCGTAAGGATTTTTATCTGGATCCCCGCGTGACTGGCTGTCGATTCCTTACGCTGCCCAAATCCACACACTGTTTGCTCAAATCCTGCAACACCAGGCATTGTCTGGCTCTCTGCTGTCAGCTTGTTTGCTCAACAGTGCAATAGCTGGTGTATTGGCAGATTTTAATATTTTCTCCAAACAGCTGTTGACATAGTCTGCTGTCAGCGGTGCATTTGGCAGTAGTTATTATGTTTTCCAAGGAGCTGTTGACATAGTACAGAAGCTACCAGGAGCTTCTTGCAGCTAAAGAACTATCTTTTTTTTTTCCGAAACAAATCAGCAGTCACTGCTGAACAGCGATCATCGTGTTGTGCAGCCTGGACCATGCACCTTTTTTTTTCTCCATCCTTTTATCTCTCGTGTTTCTTTGCATGCTTCAGCCGTGGTGACCCTTTTAACAGATCGCACATACTTTCCGCCAGATTGTTTCACGAACGCCTCAACTAGTAGTAGCAGGACTGTTTAAACGAGAGTTTGCCAAAGTAAAGGGCTCCACTGCAGCCAAGGACAAATCTGATGAGCAAAAACGAGTAGACTTGATTTTTTGTCGTTCAGAAGTAGAAGCTCTCACATTTGGAGGCGTTTTTCCTTTCTTTCTTTATTTCTTTCGTTCGTTTCACCTTTTTTCCCATAAAAGGTGCGACAATGTGCGGCTGATGCGGGATTCTCCACTTTATGAGAACGTTCAATAACCTCCTCAAATTCCAAAGTACCGGCTACACGTAGGTAAAGCTCGCCATGTCACGAGATGGTTCAAGGTTCCTCTACTCCTTGTTGGGCTCGTCTGCGAAGGTGAAGGGAGGAGAGGGGGGAAAGGGGAAGGGGGAGGAGGAGGAGGAGGAGGAGGAGGAGGAGGAGCAGGAGGAGCTCGAGGAAGGTAACAGGCAATCAGGGCCGTTCATGAGGCAAGATCGACCATTTCTAGACTTGAATCTTGAAATCGGCGGTCAGGATGAAGGGGGAAATGGACCTGAGGGCCATGATCATCATGGAGCACCGGCAGGAGCAGCAGCAGCGGCAGCAGCATCAGCAGCATCGGCAGAAGCAGCAGCATCACGGGCAGCAGAAATAACCCCTTCCTCAGCACGCCTACAAAAAAATGACGTCGTGATGCTCTCTGGCGGCCCTTCCAAGGAGCCTTTGCGTCGTGGAGAGTGGATGTCGCATGAAGAAGCCTCCATGGTTGCATTTGCTGCTGCTGGGAGCCATGCTGGTGCTGCATGCATGGAAAAAAATGCTTCAGTGCTCCCTTCTTCTGCTTCCCATGGTATCACTGCTACTGCCCATGGGCCTACTTCCTTACCCAGGCCACGCTCATCAGTCAACGCAAATCGTGCAGGTTTTGAAAGCTTATGCGCAAGCCCTGCTTTGCAAAGCACCCCAACAGCAAGCACCCCAACAGCAAGCACCCCAACAGCAACCACCCCAACAGCAACCACCCAAGCGCAAGCGCCAAGCACGGGCCTCGGCGGGAATTCTCGGTGGAACAATCCCCGAGCGACAACAACAGGTTCGGAACCTGAAGCGGCTCGCAGTATGAGATCAACATTCGCCGTCCCAGCCGACGCTGCTGCGGCTGCTGGACCCGTTGCTACCAGCGAGAGTGGTGGCAGGGATGCTGCTGTTTCTGCTGCTTCGGTGTCGGCTGCGGAAGTCCTGAGAAGTAAAGGTCACTCTCAGTCGGGTGTGACGCAGGCTGATGCTGTTCAAATCCCTGCGAATGCCGCTCGACAGGAGGGAATGGGTCTACCTGTCTTTGGAAAGGCACAGGAATGCTGCTGCTGCTGCTGCTGCTGCAGGTGCCGGTGCTGCTGCTGCAGGTGCTCGTGCTGCAAGGAACACAACAGTGGTGATGCAGGAAGCAGGGAGGTCCCCAATACATGATGCCTTGCGGCCCTCTAACCCTCATGCCGCTTATGCTGATTCTCAGCATTCATTGCAAGCTGGGGGCTTTGAGATGACCCAGGCTGAGGGTGCTAAGTCTACTCACGTTTGGGGGCTTGTTTTGGCTCAGGTTCGGGGTCCTGGATCAGCTCAGGTTCGGGATCTTGAGCTGTCTCAGGTTCCAGGGCTTGATGTTGCGTCGGCTAAGGTTCGGGGTCTTGAGCTGTCTCAGGCTCGGCATTTGGAGGTTAAATCAAAGTCAAGGGGAGCGGCTAAGCACAGTGCCAAGAGCCTCAGCTGTGGTGATGACGTGGCGATGATGTCTCCACCAAAGCGCGCGCGCCACATGGCAGCACCTCATTCCTCGGCCTCAGCAAGATTGGCCGGCAGATTGTCTCACGCTGCGATTCGTAACCCTGCAAGAAGACAAACTGGCACAGGAACTGCAGACGAAGCTGTAGCTAGAAGTCTAGCAAAAAACGTACCAGCTGGCAAGGGCTTTCCCTCAACCGGCCTTCCCTCGTCTGCTAGCGCACCCTCATCATCCCCTGCCCCCATCCCCGTTTGCCCGTCCCCCTCCGCTCGCCTCTCCTCCTCATCTGCCCCTCTCCCCTCTCTCCCTCCTCCTCCCCCACCTTCCCTTCTCTCCTCTTCCTCTGCCCCCTCCTCCGCATCCGCCCCAGCCTCCTCCCAGTCCCCATCCCTGACCCCTGAAATGAGCCGGCTTTTAGCTAAGTGGCTGCGCTCAGACGGCCAGGGCCCTCACTACTGCACGCTGTGCAAGCAGAGCTTCCCAACCGCCGCTGCTCTCGACCAACACCGGCGCGACAAGTGGCGGTGCTCTCAGGCCACTGAATCTGCTGTGCTGGCAGCCAATGCTGCACATACTGCCCGTGCCGCTGACGTTGCGGCATGCTCTGCCATTGCTGCGCGCTCAGCAATACGCTCTGCCTCTGCAGCCACTGCTCGTGTTGTTGGCACTGCTGACCGTTCCGTCACTGCAAGAACGACCCATGTGGTTGCTGGGTCAGCCACTGCTAGTACGCCTACCCATGCTGGTCCACATTCTGTCACTGCTGCTACTACTGCTAGCACTTCTGTCGCTCCTGCACTGGAAGCTCTAGCCACTGGGGCTGGTACGGAAGCTGCTGTGCTTGGCTCAGCTGCTGCTGCTGGTGAGGGCCGATGCGGTAAGAAATTGAGAGGAGAGGGGACCTTGGGGTCTGCCCAGGTGCCTTCAGCAGCAGTAGTGTCTGGCTCGGCCGCTGCTGCTGGTGGTGGTGGTGAGAGAAGGTGTAGTGAGACGCTGCAAGGAGTGGGATCCTTTGTGCCTGGTCAGGTGAATTTAACAGCGGCAGTGGCGGCTGAAGCGCTTGCCTCAGCTGCTGCTGGTGAGGGCCGATGCAGTAAGAAGCTGAGAGGAGAGGGGACCTTGCGGCCTGCTCAGGTGCCTTCAGCAGCAGCAGTGTCTGGCTTGGCCGCCGCTGCTGCTGCTGCTGCTGCTGCTGCTGCTGCTGCTGCTGCTGCTGCTGCTGCTGCTGCTGCTGCTGCTGCTGCTGCTGCTGCTGCTGCTGCTGCTGCTGCTGCTGCTGCTGCTGCTGCTGCTGCTGCTGCTGCTGCTGCTGCTGGTGGTGAGAGAAGGTGTAGTGAGACGCTGCGAGGAGTGGGGTCGTTTGCGCCTGGTCAGGTGAATTCAACAGCAGCAGTGGCGGCTGCTGCAGCAATGGCTGCAGTGGCTGCAGTAGTAGCAGAGAGAGGAGGAAGAGGAGGAGGAGGAGGAGGAGGAGGAGGAGGAGGAGGAGGAGGAGGAGGAGGAGGAGGAGGAGGAGGAGGAGGAAGGGAAGGGGGAGGGAGAGGGGGAGGGGGGGGGGAAGCAGAGGGGGAGGGGGAAGGGGAGGGGGAGGGGAAGCATCAGCACTCTCAATAGCAGCATTTGCAGCTGCTGCTGCTGCTGCAGCGGCGGCTGCTAGAAGGGTAGGCGAGCAGGCAACGGGGGATATGGGAGAAGTAGGAGTTGGGAGATTGGACGGAGTGGCGGGAGGGGAGGGGTTCGGGAAAGTGTGGAGAGGGTTGCAAGGGGAGAGGTTTGGAAGAGCGCGGGGAGGGTTGGGAGGGGAGAGGCAGGCAGTAGGTAGCAGTGAAACCAGAGGCAGTGAGGGATCTTCTTTATTGCGAGGCCAACTCAACTCGCAACCCTCTCCACCCTCTCCCAGGGGCAGTAAAGAACCCTCCCAGGGGCAATCCCTATGGCGCCAGCTCCCCTCCCAACCTGCCCCTCCCTCTCCCAGGGGCAGGGAAGTAGCTTCCCTATGGCGCCAACTCTCAGCAAGAGAACATTTGGGAGCAGGAGTGAACGTGACAGCGAGAACGCGAGTGAAGCGAGAACGCGACTCAGCGCTTGTACCTGCTCCCAGCGCTGGGAACGGGGCGGCTGGCAGGAAAGAAGACCAAACGGGCTCTGCTTGTGTGTCATCGCTCAGCATTCCTCCAAGCCTCACCACTCAACCACCCGTATCATTCTCCAATACTGACATGACTCAAAACGCCCTCACCACACTCATCGCACGGCTTGCACCAAACGCTCTTAACACCCTTCCGGTACCACAGGGCTCGCACGCGCTGAATGCCGAATCACTCATCCCTAGAATTCCCTCCCTCGCACCCTCCTCCACCATTCTTGCCGCCCATCTCCTCTCCTTGGCGTCACAACAGACAACTGCTGCCACCCAGGGACAACAGCCGGTAGCAAGTTCTGAGTCGTCCCACACATCAGCATCTTCTATGCAACGATACCAACAGCTGTTAGCAGCTGCTTCTGCTCCGCACCAACCCCCCGCCATATCTTCTCCTTCAACCCATTCCCCCCACATTCCCCTATGCCCCGACCTCCTGCAATCTCTTCTATTTCTACTAGCATCTCAGCCGTCCACTTCTTCCGGACCTTCTAGCAATGCAGGTTCGGAGCTCGTTCGAACACAGCTGCCTTCCGAACGTGCTCATAACTTGGCCCGGAATACCACCGCAGCCTTACAGCCGGGGGGGCAGGAGATTCCCCAGGCGGTTCTGTTGGCGCTTCTGGCGCAGGTGAAGTCCCAGGAGATTTCCCAGGGCCGTGAGGCATCTCATGAACAGCAGGTGAAGCAGCAGGTGAAGCAGAAGCAGCAGCACAGCAGCAGCAGCAGCAGCAGCAGCAGCAGCAGCAGCAGCAGCAGCAGCAGCAGCAGCAGCAGCAGCAGCAGCAGCAGCAGCAGCAGCAGCAGCAGCAGCAGCAGCAGCAGCAGCAGCAGCAGCAGCAGCAGCAGCAGCAGCAGCAGCAGCAGCAACAACAGAGCCAGCAGCATCTGAACCAGCATAAGATGGGCCGTCCAATCAGTCATCTTATGGGACAACCTTTGGGAAATCCCACACAGATGCGCAATGAGTCACTGAGAGCTACCATGAGGGGAAGCGCGAGCGTGGGGGGAGGAGACCAGAATCATGACTGTGCAGGTGTGTCTGGTGTGGCTGCTACACGTGATGCTGATATGGGTGGTATGGATGGTATGGGGGGCATGGATGGTGGGAATTTTGTCGATGGTATAAGTGATATGGGTGTTGGTGTTGGCATGGCTGGTCGATCTGCTACGGCTGCTCTGGCAGGTCTGAGTGGCACTGAGCGAAAAAGCGTTGCACCTAATGTGGGAAGCAGTGGAGTGAGAAGCGGTGGTGAGGGATGCGGTGGAATGGGGAGTGGTAGGGTGGGAAGCGATAGAGTGGGGAGTGGTGGAGTGGGGAGCGGTGGGGTGGGAAGCGATAGAGTGGGGAGTGGTGGAGTGGGGAGCAGTAGAGTGGGAAGTGGTGGAGTGGGGAGTGGTGCGGTGGGAAGTGATAGAGTGGGGAGTGGTGGAGTGGGGAGTGGTAGAGTGGGAAGTGGTGGAGTGGGGAGTGGTGGGGCGGGAAGCGATAGAGTGGGGAGCGGTGGGGTGGGGAGCAGTGGGGTGGGGAGCGGTGGGGTGGGGAGCACGTTCATGCGGGACAGGAGTGCCACGATGGGGAGTGAAATCACCGAGTGGAGAGATGCTATCCTCGAGGGTAGCACTGCTACGCATGGAGCTTCGGGAGTTGGAGCTTCGGGATTTGGAGCTTCGGGATTTGGAGCTTCGGGAGTTGGAGCTTCGGGAGTTGGAGCTTCGGGAGTTGGAGCTTCGGGAGTTGGAGCTTCGGGAGTTGGAGCTTCGGGAGTTGGAGCTTTGGGAGTTGGGGCTTCAGGAGTTGGAGCTCTGATGAGTGGAGCTGCTGAGGTTGGAGGTTCGGGGTGTGGAGCTTTGGAAGCTGGAGCTCTAATGGCAGAAAATTTGCATGCTGGGGCTGTGCAGGCCAGCGCTGCTGTTGGTGCAGGCAGCTTCTCTCTTGGACGGCAGCAGATCCCTTCCCCCAGGAAACGCCTCAGGGACACTGCAGGCTTGATGGAGGAGCGGTTGGGTGCGGTTCCCCTGGGGGGAAGTGGCACAGAGTCTACTCCCAGTGCCCATGCTGCTGCAGTGAAGCAGGAGGGGTTGGTGGCAGGAGCAAGGGTAGGGGAGATTGGACCAAGGCAGCAGCACTCAGCGTCTCCACTGCTGCCCCCTTCACTTCTATCTGCCGTTCCCACTGGTGGTGCTACTGCTGCTGCTGCTGCTGCTGCAGAGAAGCAGGAGCAGGAGGCTGCAGGGGAAAGCCCAAGAGGCAAAGGAGAATTGCTCCAGCATCAGCCGTTGTTGGGCCTTGAGAGCGGGAGAGGTCAGTGGCACCCAGTGTCGTTGCTTTCACCTGAGAGTGCCAAGAGTCACCACTGGCAGCAGCAACCTTCGTTTTCTCCTAAGAGTGCGAAGGATTACTGGCAGCACCGGCCTTCACGTTCCCCTGAGAGTGAGAGTGCAAAGAGTTACCAGCACCAGCTGTCGCGCTCACCTGACTTGAGCTCGTTTCAGCGCATCACCCTTGTCAGCCCGCCTCCCTCCTCCGCCACTCCTCCCCCTCCTGTTCTCCCCCTTCCACCACTCCTCTTCCGAACTACTTTTTACACCGGTTATCCGGTCCTCTTGCCAGCGTTCCTCCTCCCTCCACCACACCTCCCCGCTCCACCATGCCTCCCCGCTCCCTTATGCCTCCTCCCTCTGACGTCCCTCCTCTGTCTGACATCCCACCTGCCCCGAACATCCTTGCAACCAAAAGCACAGGCTCTCCTTTGCTAGAGCCCCCACACACCCAGCCCCCACCAACTCCTCCTCCTCCTGCTCCTCCTCCTCCCCATCACAGTTCCGCTTCACATATTTTCACGCCGGTCCATTGGCCTTCCTTTGCCCCTCATCGCCCTCCTGATCTCACTGTAAAGCAGGAACCAGTACGGGACATGCTTATAACGGGTACAGATGCATTACCACTGGGGTATCTTGAAGAGAACCATTCGCGGGGACATTCAGCTGGGGCTGTTACATCAGCCTCTTGCAGCAGCCTAAGAGCAGAATTAGCAGCAGCAGCACATGCAGGAGCAACAAGGTCAGTAGGAGCAGCAGGAGCAACAGGAGAAGAAAGGAAGAGCATAAGAGATACCACAGAAGGAGTCGCAAGCCCAGCCACACGGGCACCTGCAAGTGCGGCAGGGGATTCAGCAGCAGTAGCGGCGGGAAGAGAAGTAGAAGCAGGAGTGGGTGACACAACAAAGGAAGAGCCTCCAATACAAGACGACCTGATGTCAGATTTTAGCGGGCCTCACTCTTCACCCGTGCTGCTTTGGGGAGTGGATCTCAACCGTGATTGATACCTGAAATAGCAGGTGGCTTTTGAGGCAAATTTCGAGGCGGCTGAAAGGATTGTCAGATTGCAACGGGTCGCAATCTTCACCCGTGCTGCTTTGGGGCATGGATCTCAACTGAGCTAATTAAAGCGGCCTGTGGAGAAGATGCAATCTCAAGCCTAGGACCGAAGATGCAACTGGGCCGTCGTCAGCTACACGTGTGAATTATCGCGTATAAGGGGTATTTGTTTTATTGCAACAACAATTCACCACCAGTCTATACAAATTTGTGGAACTATACTGTGGTCTAAAAATAACTTCAAGACAAAACTACATCAGGCATAGCCTACTACTGACACGGGCACGGTGTGGTATGAATAATCTCACTGGAAACCGTGATTTACATAATTATCTACCTTGCTGGCCATGAGTGCCACATGACCACCTCTCCCATGAAGCATTTTTATGGATGTGAAAGGAAAAAATATTTTGTGCTAATGTCTAACCATGATAAGGTGTATTGTGAATATGCGCGAATGCGGATTAGCAAGTTGAAAGCTACTGAGATTCTTGTACAGTATTTGAAGTTCCTCGCTGGGCGGTTGTGTTTCGAGTCGTAAGATGTGACACCCTGGCTTCGCCAGATATCAAGATCCAATCCAACAGCTGCTTGAAATCGCGAGGGCAGATATGCCAGGTGGCATAAAATCCACACTGCTGGCGTCAGATCTCGGCGACCGAACCGCCTCCTACGCCAGAGTTGAAACAGGTGGATGTCGAGCTGGAGTGCTTCGTTCCAGTCAACGACAGCTTTGGGTCTGGGAGACAAGTGGGAAGCAGAGATGAAGCTTCTCTGTGTTGACTCAAAATACTTCTCCCTAGAATGAGCTCTGCTATGGATAACTCTATATTTGTTTCCAAACATCTATCAGTAGGTTAGCTCAAGGTTATATGAGTTGGATTTTGTTATGAAACATATAGTTGAGAATTGAGTTGGATTTTCTTATGAAACATATAGTTGAGGATATTAACAACTACAAAAAATGAGTGATGAATATTTGTTGGAGCAAAATAAATTACACACAAACAGGGGCTGATTCCAAGAGGTGCTGTATATGCAGCTAAATATGGTGCTATATTCCCATCATTAACCATCCAAATGTAGAACTACTAGTTACATATCAAATTCGAGTAACTACTTCTCGTTTTCGGGATCTTTCGCAACAGATCGGTTTCATGCTGACGTCGCTAGCGACAATGATCCCCAGCTTCTTGCGCAGCATGACCATGTTCGGCATCTGATTGGCTACGGCACTGCCCATATCCAGAGGCAATTAGGAATTCTCAAATTTCCGCCACGTGGCCCCCCGACGACACACTGCACACCTCCAGTCAGCAACTGGATGGGTTGCTGATTGCCCCCTAGGGATATCGCCCACGAGATTGCCGCGAAGCGGGGACACAGAGAGAATTCGGAGCTGCCAGGGGAATTTTGTTTTCTCCTGCCAGCGTCTGTTCTAGTCTGCTGCAGAGCAAGCAGAACCTTCTGTGGATGTTTTCTTAGCTTGGCTACGGAATTGCCAAGTAAGGCGTAAGCCAGAAGGCTCTTGGCCCCTTCTCACTCATCCTTGAAACTAAGGGGTTTCCCGTCGTACAGTCGTCTCTTTAAAGTTACGTCCTCTCACTGGCCATGGCGTCGAGCCTAACCAATGCGGTGGCTCAGAGCATCGCAGCAGTTCCCGAGCTCGGCTCGGGTCGCGTTGCCAAGCCCGCAGAAGCAGCGTCGCTTGCTTCCTCCTTCACTGGTCTCAGCCTGAAAAGAGTAGAGCCTCTCAGGGCCAGAAGTAAGGCCTCTAAGGCTGGCAGGAAGGCTTGCCGAGCTGTCGCTGCTGTGGAGACCGCTGCGAAGTCAGGGCCTGAGAAAAGTTTCGAGAATGAGGGGAATAAGTACGGTCGGGAGTACTTCCCATTGGCCTCCGTTGTCGGACAGGTGGGTCCTAAAACCTCATCTATACAGTTTTTAGGTGCATCTTAATTTACGTCTTACCGTAACCCCGGTTTCACGTTATCGAAAACTTTTTGCCAAAGGAAACTCGCGTTTTTTCTCTCTTTCTCTCTCGGGAGAGATTTCCCTCTGGTGAAGCTGCTCGTATACTCAAATGGGAAACGAGGTGGTTCTGCAGGAGATTATTAAATCCGCGCTGCTCCTGGGAGCCGTGGACATGAAGATTGGTGGAATCGCCATTGCCGGGCGGAGAGGCACTGCCAAGACCGTCATGGCGCGCGGGCTACACGGAGTGCTTCCACCCATCGAAGTCGTGGAAGGAAGCACCGCAAATGCTGACCCAGAAAACCCCCAGGAGTGAGCAGCAATAGACTGAATACGTCAGTTTGCCTCTATCAATCGCTCGTCCAACATTTTTTTTTTTTTTCTTTTGCGATTCAGAGTGGCGGTCATTTATTCATCCATGTGTTGGTTTGTGCTGCGATCTTTGGATTGTGCAGGTGGGAGCAGGGCTTGAGCGAACGCGTCCAGTACAACGAGGACGGCACAATAAAGACAAAGATTATTCGCGCACCTTTCGTGCAGGTTTGTTAATAGATTGTAGCTTATGAAACTGATCACACCCATTTCCTCCTCCCCGCTTCATTCTCATCCCGTCTTTTCCGTAAACGCCTAGTTCCGTCTAAATCTCGTCACAAGTTCCACTTCTTTATGTCATGAATTCCGAACTCCGACCACTGGATTTTTTTGGCAATTGTACTGTAAACATTTACGCCGAGCAGGCATTGTGAGCAATGGATCCATCTCTTTTCGGCCTCATTATTTCCCTGTTCCTTCAGATTCCCTTGGGTATCACGGAAGATCGTCTTATCGGATCAGTCGATGTCGAGGAATCCGTCCGCACCGGCACGACCGTTTACCAGCCAGGCCTCCTAGCCGAGGCGCACCGCGGTGTGCTTTACGTCGACGAGATTAATCTCCTCGACGACGGCATCGTGAATCTGCTCCTCACCGTGCTGACTGAGGGAGTGAATATCATCGAGCGTGAGGGTGTGAGCTTCCGCCATCCGTGCCGGCCGCTTCTGATCGCGACGTACAACCCCGACGAGGGCAATGTGCGCGAGCATCTTCTTGACCGTATTGCCATCAACCTCAGGTGATTGCCGCTTGCTTTTGTTGAGCCTCTGATAGCTGAGCTCTCGGCACGTTCGACGAGCCGGCTATTAAAATTTAATCGACCGTTGCTATGAGCATTCCTGATCGTTTTTTGCGTAAGACCGTTTCTCAGCAGTTCTCTAAAAAGTGGAATAAAATTCGTGAAGTAGATGTCCTTTACGTTTCCCCGTCGTCTTCCCTTCTCCACCTTCTATCTCCCCCCTTTTCGCTCCTCCCTCTCTTCTTCACCTCGTATTCCCTTCTCCCCTTCGTCCGTCAACAACCCCTCCCTCCCCCTCCCCGTCCCTTCCCTTTTTATCCCCTTTTTATCGTTTTCCAGCGCCGACGTGGTTCAGGATTTCGGCGACCGCGTGTCGGCGGTGGAGATCGCGATGAACTACCAGAACCGCGCCAAGGAGGTGCTGTTGGAGTCCAACGACGTTTGAGGTGCCTTAAAAGCTTCCTCACCCTCCCGTCCCCCCCCCCCTACCTTCCCCACTTCCTCCCCCTCCCCCCCCTCCCTCCCCTTCTTTCTCCCCCATTTCCGCCCTCTCCTTTTTGTCGTTTCTCAGCGCCGACGTGGTTCAGGATTTCGGCGACCGCGTGTCGGCGGTGGAGATCGCGATGAACTTCCAGAACCGCGCCAAGGAGGTGCTGTTGGAGTCCAACGACGCCACGGAGGCCGCGCGCACACAGGTCATCCTCGCGCGCGAGTACCTCAAGGACGTCACCATGAGCCGCGAGCAGATGAAGTACCTCGTCACGGAGGCCATCCGTGGACAGTGCCAGGTACGTCCTTCGCGCTGACTTTGGAGTCGACTTAGAAGTGTTATATATAGGTGCTCACGATGAGCTGGGTGAAGATGAAGTACCTCGTCACAGAGGCCATCCGCGGGCAGTGCCAGGTTGGTTCTTCGCTTTCAGCTTTTGCTGTTGTGGGGAGGTTTTTGAGAATCTGAGGAAATACTCGCGCGCGAGTATCTCAAGGAGGTCACCATGAGCCGCGAGCAGACGAAGTGTCTCGTCACAGAGGCTAAAGGCGGGCAGTGCCAGGTTGGTTCTTCGCTTTCAGCTTTTGTCATTTTGGTGCACCATTAGTTTGGCATAGATGGGGTAGATACCCTTCAATTGACGTCAGCATGTGCCAGAAGCGTATGAAGCGTCTGGTCGCAGGGACCATCCGCAGGCGATGCTTGCCAGGTTGTAACCATTCGACACTCGTTTCTTCTCTTCTATCCTTCCAGGGGCATCGAGCGGAGCTGTTCGCGCAGCGCGTGGCGAAGGCGTCAGCAGCGCTGGAAGGGAGGGACAGAGTCAGCGCGGACGACCTTCGCAGGGCGGTCAGTTTCGTTGCCTCTCTTGTTGTTGTTGTTGTTGTTGTTGTTGTTGTTGTTGTTGTTGTTGTTGTTGTTGTTTTTTTTTTTTTTTTTTAGTTCTCCATGAACCTTGTCTTGTGTGGAAACTGCGTAGGATAAGCTGATATGGTCCATCCTTGGCAAAACGGGAAGGCTCAAAGGCCAATGACTTGTTTTGAATGCAGATGGACCTAGATGAATCTCAGATTGGCGCTTGTCTTTAACTTCATGACCCTTTTCAACGTGGACTCGAAGTCACTCACAAGCGTACATTTTGCCCCATTAGAAGCCCTGTACTCGTACATTGGCCATCCGTCCACACCTCCCGCCGTTGCCTGTTATCCTCCTGATCTCGCCGTTCCCATCTTCCCCTCTTGTCCGTTCTCTATTCTGTTCTTTCCGTACTGTGCATGCCTTGCAGGTGGAGCTGGTCATTCTCCCCCGTGCTACAGTGATTGACATGCCTCAGGACCAGCAACAGAACGCCCCGCCGCCACCACCACCGCCGTCCCCGCCCCAGGATCAGCAGAAGGATGAGGATCAAGAAGAGGTGAGATGACCGGAATTTCTGGGTGCCTTTTGCATTCCTGGTTTGACTGGAGGTGGACTGAAAGTCTGGTCTCGTCCCAGGATCAGCAGACGGACGAGGATCAGGATGTGATGGAATGAGCTATATTTGGTGGGATCTTCTTGGATGTGGCGTCATGGTAGGGTAAAGTGGCGGAGGAGGCTTGAGTGAATATTCACCTCATTGTTCACTCTTGGCTGTGGCCCGTTCTTTCTTTTTAAGAATTTCACTACATTCCTCGTACCTGATCCCGTTCTCACCTGTGCTTTTATCAACCGCTGGGGAGTGCAGGAGAAGGAAGAGGACGAGGAGGACGAGGACGAGGACCAGGACGAGCAGCAGCCGGACCAGATCCCCGAGGAGTTTGTGTTTGACGCGGAGGGCGGCGTGGTGGACCAGCAGCTGCTCATGTTCGCGCAGCAGGCGCAGCGCCGCAAGGGCAAGGCGGGCCGCGCCAAGAACGTTATTTTCTCAGAGGATAGAGGGCGGTACATCAAGCCCATGCTGCCCAAGGTGAGCATGAGCGACTTTTAAAAAGTCCAAACCGCGCCGCAAGGGCAAGGCGGGCCGCGCCAAGAACGTTATTTTCTCAGAGGATAGAGGGCGGTACATAAAGCCCATGCTGCCCAAGGTGAGCATGAGCGACTTTTAAAAAGTCCAAACCGCGCCGCAAGGGCAAGGCGGGCCGCGCCAAGAACGTTATTTTCTCAGAGGATAGAGGGCGGTACATCAAGCCCATGCTGCCCAAGGTGAGCATGAGCGACTTTTAAAAAGTCCAAACCGCGCCGCAAGGGCAAGGCTGGCCGCGCCAAGAACGTCATCTTCTCAGAGGATAGAGGGCGGTACATCAAGCCCATGCTGCCCAAGGTGAGCGTCTCTTAGTCCTCACTTAGGTAATGAGAGAGAGTAGGGAATGATACATCAATTCTACGCTTCTTTTCCCCTTTATCTCTTGGAAATCTTCCACCTCCCCCTCTTCCACCTCCCCCTCTTCCACATCCCCCCCCTTCCCGCACCCCTCCCTCTCCCGCTCCCCCTCTCCCCATCCCCTCTCCCCCCTCTTCGTGCGTGCATGTCAATCCGTCCTTGTATTACATTGATGCGATTTCTGTAACCATTATCTATTGCATGGTGACTTTTATCATTTAACCCTCTTGTTCCTTTTTCTCTACCTCCATAACCCCATCTGCGCTGCTGTTGATCCTGTGGGCGTGCAGGGTCAAGTGAGGCGGCTGGCTGTGGATGCCACCCTGCGAGCAGCAGCGCCCTTCCAGAAGCTGCGCCGGTGGGGAGAGCGTGATTAGCAGTCACCTGATCCATTTTCTCCTGCCATTTTACTTCTCTTTATCGTGTGGGCGTGCAGGGTCAAGTGAGGCGGCTGGCTGTGGATGCCACCCTGCGAGCAGCAGCGCCCTTCCAGAAGCTGCGCCGGGAGCGGGCACAGAAGTCAGGCAACACGCGGCCGGTGTATGTGGAGCAGATCGACATGCGGTCCAAGCGCATGGCTCGCAAGGCGGGCGCCCTGGTTATCTTCGTGGTGGACGCGAGTGGCAGCATGGCGCTGAACCGCATGAACAACGCCAAGGGGGCTGCCATGCAGCTGCTGGCAGAGAGCTACACCAGCCGTGACCAGGTAGGGGTTTCCTGGTGATGTGGGTTGAGGTGGGTTGAAGTAGGATGGTACAGGTAGCTTCAATCAAGAGAGTGACCTTTGAGGTGGCGGCTCACAAGCCAAGGGGGCTGCCATCAAGCTGCTGGCAGAGAGCTACACCAGCCGTGACCAGGTAGGGTTTCCTGGTGATGTGGGTTGAGGCAGGTTGAAGTAGGATGGTACAGGTAGCTTCAATCAAGAGAGTGACCTTTGAGGTGGCTCACAAGCCAAGGGGGCTGCCATCAAGCTGCTGGCTGAGAGTTACACCAGCCGTGATCAGGTAGGGTTTTTCTATTGAGCGATTTTGCTTCAGGTAGTATCAATACAGAGGAATTTCTGAGGTACATCAAATGGAGGGTGCTTTTGAGGCGACTCAGAAGTCAAGGGGGCTGCCATGTGGTTGCTGGCAGAGAGCAACACCAGGTGGGGTTTCGGGGTGCAAGGCAGGCCGTTACAGGTTTAATGGGAGAGTTAAAAGCAAGTTGAAGGAACCATCTATTAGTGTAAATCACTCACGTAGATCTGAGTCTGGTCCAACCCCAAACGTCACCTGCAGTGGGATATGATTTAATTTACAAAGAGGAGGGCTAAGATTTGATCGACTTTCTGTCCCGCTTTCTCCCATTCCCTCGGCCCACGTGCATCCACACCTCGTCTGGGCATTGCCTGTCTGCAGGTGGCCATCATCCCATTCCGCGGGGAGGCAGCAGAGGTGCTGCTGCCGCCGTCTCGCTCCATCGCCATGGCAAAGAAGCGTCTCGACAAGCTGCCCTGCGGTGGTGGCTCCCCGCTCGCCCATGGCCTCTCCACGGTATGCCTGCTACTCTGCTCTGCTTCTCTGCTCTGCCGCTCTACTCCTCTGCTCTGCTCTGCTGCTCTCCTTGTCATTCCCATGCAACCCAACGTCTTCCACTGCTCCTTTCTGACCTTCCCAACCCCTTTCTCTTTCTTTCTTTGTTCCAACCACTCCGTCTCCCACCTTCGCCCTTCCCACCCTCCCTCCCGCCCCCCTCCCCTTCCCCCCACCCTCCCCCCCTCTCCCCCCCTCCCCTACTCCCCCAAACTTCTCTCTTACCTGTTTCTCATCGCTCAGCCCATCTCCGTTTTCCCCGTTCTCCTTCTCTCCCTCTATGTCTGCCTGGTTGTCACTATCCGTCCTCCCATCCCACCTCCCCTTTCTCCTGCTGCCCCATCGGCCCCTCTTTGTCCCATGCCTGTGTGCACTCCTCCCCTGTGTCACATTAGACTCCTTCCCCTGTTTCACTTCTACGCCACTCCTCCGTATTGCTTTAGACCCTTCGCCCTCCACCACCTTTCACCAGTTGGCCAGTGATGCGACACTTGTCTTGCACCAATCAGAGCCAGGCTTCGCCCTGCTGTGCTGAGAACCACATCACCCAGAATCAACCTTGACTGGGGCCTGACTGGTGGTAACCACCTGTAGTTGTAACAGCAAGACAGTACGAATGGAACTTTTCTTCGGCGAAGTGGAAGGGGTGGTGGTGACAGTCTCTATTACGGATGGGTTTCCAAAGCCGTTTTTCCATGAGGCAATGTGGGTGGGTTCCATTACAAATGGCCACTTCAGCACATCTCTTGTGCTCTCCTCACATCGCCTTTCCTCTTTGTCCTAAACCCTGTCCATGTCAGGCTGTGCGGGTGGGTCTGAACGCAGAGAAGAGTGGTGAGGTGGGGCGAGTGATCACAGACGGCCATTTGAACACAACTCATCCTTTCCTCACATTCCCCTGCCTCTTTCCTTTTTCTTTTTGCCATCAGGCTGTGCGGGTGGGTCTGAACGCGGAGAAGAGCGGGGAGGTGGGGCGAGTGATGATCGTGGCCATCACTGACGGCCGTGCTAACGTGTCGCTCAAGCGATCACTGGGGGAGGTGGAGGCGGTGGGTCCCGATGCGCCCAAGCCCACACAGCAGGAGCTCAAGGTTAGTACCAACCAAGTACATACATACGCGCTCACTCGAGGGAGGTGGGGCTAGTGATGATCGTGGCAATCACGGACGGCCGTGCCAATGTCTCGCTCAAGCGGTCACTGGGGGAGGTGGAGGCGGTGGGTCTGGGCGCGCCCAAGCCCACACAGCAGGAGCTCAAGGTTAGTACCAACCAAGTACATACATACGCGCTCACTCGAGGGAGGTGGGGCTAGTGATGATCGTGGCAATCACGGACGGCCGTGCCAATGTCTCGCTCAAGCGGTCACTGGGGGAGGTGGAGGCGGTGGGTCTGGGCGCGCCCAAGCCCACACAGCAGGAGCTCAAGGTTAGTACCAACCAAGTACATACATACGCGCTCACTCGAGGGAGGTGGGGCTAGTGATGATCGTGGCAATCACGGACGGCCGTGCCAATGTCTCGCTCAAGCGGTCACTGGGGGAGGTGGAGGCGGTGGGTCTGGGCGCGCCCAAGCCCACACAGCAGGAGCTCAAGGTTAGTACCAACCAAGTACATACATACGCGCTCACTCGAGGGAGGTGGGGCTAGTGATGATCGTGGCAATCACGGACGGCCGTGCCAATGTCTCGCTCAAGCGGTCACTGGGGGAGGTGGAGGCGGTGGGTCTGGGCGCGCCCAAGCCCACACAGCAGGAGCTCAAGGTTAGTACCAACCAAGTACATACATACGCGCTCACTCGAGGGAGGTGGGGCGAGTGATGATCGTGGCAATCACGGACGGCCGTGCCAATGTCTCGCTCAAGCGGTCACTGGGGGAGGTGGAGGCGGTGGGTCTGGGCGCGCCCAAGCCCACACAGCAGGAGCTCAAGGTATGTGCGAACTCACTCACATGCGTGAGGCGGTAGTGAGACGTTGGGAAAGGTGGAAGCTGTGGGCCCGTTCACGCCCAAGCCCACACAGCAGGAGCTCAAGGTACGCATGTATCAACCTAGTACATGCATACTCACACGAGCAAGGGGGGTGCATCTAGCAATCTACACTGCTTCCACACTTGTGGAGTTGGGGGAACCAGTTGGCCAGTGATGCGACACTTGTCTTGCACCAATCAGAGCTGGGTTGAGCCCTGCTGTGCTGAGAACCACATCACCCAGAATCAACCTTGACTGAGGCCAGCTGTTCATCGGTTTCTCTTCAGCACTTCACTTTAGTCTGATTGCATGGAAGATGGCTGTGATGGAGGGAGGTGTGCCTGCTTGTAATGCGCGCCTCCACACCCCCTGACAGAACCTGACACTCTTTCGTTTAGAACGAATAGCACAGCAGACTAGCACACTTGCACAGCCGCACGCCTGCTGCAGAGGTTGGCACCCTGCTCAGTATCAGTCGCACCCTGGACAGTCACAGTTACAGATACCAGCCGGCCGGTGATGTGAATCCAATCCATTGACCAACCAGAGTTGGGCTAAGCCCTGCTGTGTTTGACAACTCAAGAATCACATCTTTCTGAGGCCAGCTCTGCTGGGCCTCTGCCCACCCTGTACTAGGCTTCTGCCGACCCTCTGCTGAGTCTCTGCTGTGGTTCACTGACTCTGGCTCAGACATACTGCTTGTCTCCATTATTGCGCCCAGCAGCACTGCCCACTGTGTGCTGTTCGCTGTTATCTGTTCACTACTGTAGACTGCACGTTTCTTTTCCCTGCACTGCTCAATGTGCTCTGCTCCGACGGGGGGTTGGATTGGGATTCAAAAAGGGCCAATGATTGCAAATATTAATTACCAAGGCAGTTGCAGCGGCTGCTGTCGTCTGTCTGTGCGGAGACAACCCAATCTCAGTCTTCAACCTGAGGCCCTACTGCTTCCCTCTCTCAGTGCTGCCACGTGCAGCTGCTGCAAGAATTTGCTGACTTGTGCTCTGGCTCGCACAGTGCTCTGTGACCTTACAACCGCCACATGTTTGCATGATGACATCTGTGCTTCTTGTTGCCCATAGCATGGTGTTTGCTTGTTCGAGCATACGTATCCAACGCGTGGGTCTTTGCGTTCACTCTCCCTTCCACTGCAGGACGAGATTCTTGACATTGCAGGCAAGATCCTCAAGTATGGCATGTCTCTGCTCGTGATCGACTCGGAGAACAAGTTCATCTCGACAGGATTTGCCAAGGAGATGGCCCGTGTTGCCAACGGTAAGCCCCAAAACATCGTGATATTTGAGGTGGATTGATCAGTGTCAATACATCATCAAGTGGTCAGGTTTGGCATCTCAGAGAACAAGTTCATCTCCACAGGATTTGCCAAGGAGATGGCACGGGTTGCCAACGGTAAGCCCCAGAGTTGTGAGGTTGGGTGTTTCATTGTGGATGTTTCGCCTGCTGAGTGTGTATGGCATGTGAGGATCACAAGGAGCTTTTAGTTGCACAATAGAGTCAACGCGCCAAAACGAGGTGCGGAGAGGTGCTAAAGGTGAGGGGCGGCAAGGAAACAGTGCACAGTTTGCTTCCCAGCTTCGTAATTTATGTCTTCCTGATAGGCTTTGCAAGCATGTGATATGTGCCATGCATTTTCTTGAACTGTGGTTCACAAGGCGAGTGCGGGCTTTCAGTCTCATCGCTCATTACTTGTCGGGTTTGTGTGCTATATTGTCTTTGTGCTTTTCAGGGAAATACTATTACCTGCCAAATGCCTCTGACGCTGTCGTGTCAGCAGCAACAAAAGAAGCCCTTTCTCAGTTCAAAGAGTCTTAGACCACCTTTGCGGCCAGTCATGACATCGTGTTCGACATCTAGCTGAATTGCTTCCCTTTTCATTAATATCAAACTGCTATCTCAACTACTTGATGTTATGTTCTAGAATGGAAGACATGATAGGATGGAGGGTCAACTGCCGGCAAAAAACAAGCATCCAGATTGGTTTCAATGGGGGCTGTTCCATCAGCTTCCTTCCTTTGCCTGTGCGTCAGTGCTTGCTCCCAAAACATTTTATGTTAGATGGACAATTCCATTTACCGTTATCTAGGTAAATTAGTGTCAAAAGTAGATACAATTTGTACCACGTTAACATAGATCAATGCTGACGTCATTGGACGGCTAAACTGATAAGTATGGGATCTCAAAGCTTCAACCCACTGGTCCCTGATGTTTGTCTAGTGTATCTTAAATTTACCCTGTTCGATTTAGTAATCCTATTTAAAAACCAACGTTAATTTCCCTCAAACATGTATGACCAAAGGGTGTGTACTTCTGGTATTTAGGAAAACGGGGGTAAAACCGAGTAACAGGTGTACTTCTTGACCAAGTGAGAGATGAGTTGACGTTTGCAACACAGCTCATGCACAGAGATACGGGTTGTTCGATGTTGTCCGTCGACACCAGACGCAGTTTCTGTCGTTCCATTGGACCCACCCACTACCGTCTCACTGTAGCTTGAATACGGTAGATTTGTTTGAAACCACCCGTAAGGTTTCGGAGGTCTGACATTCAGCTCTGAGTTTCGCAGCCTTTTCGAATCAAGATCATACACCCTATTCGCGATAATTTTACACCCCTTAAACGGACACTCTAAGGGTACATACCCGGGATACAAACTTTCTGAGAGGGTAGTTTGCTGCGAATGTTGAACAGCTGATGGGCGTTCCGAAACCCAGTCGCGAAAAGACGTAAGCATCAAAAACCTCAGTCGCGCTACCCAACCCCGTCCTCACGCGGTACTCAAGGTGTTGTTTCAAGGGAAATTGCATCTTGCTGTCGACTGATAGTCCCTGAGTTTCAGGGTGTCCGTCGTATCGAGCCTGAATCGATATAGGGCACCTTCAAAAAAGAGGGTATGAGGTGTGCAATTATCGCGAATAGGGTGTAGAATGCATACTAGGTATCAGGGGTTAGCTTTATGCAGGCATGAGTGGGAGGTCCTGCGGGTGTTGTTTTAAAACCGATACGCCTGAGGCCTGCGGCCTCAGGCCCACACTCACTTCTTTTGCGAACCAGCCTTAAAACCAGGCATCAACCCTTAAAACAACGATATTGTTTGAAGTATTTTTCTGAAACATTAGGAAGAATGATGAATATATCAGAAGCGAAGGGTGTATGCGCTATACACGACCGTCGTGGTTGTGTGGCCGTTACGATCTGATTTTGGACGGTATTTCCTTGTTTTATTGTTGTGGCAAGAAAAAAATTTCATGCTTAATCTCTGATTTACAGTACTTTCTTTCTACGTGTGGCATTTCTGTATCGAAGATGTGTAGAAAGAAAATACTGTAAATCAGAGATTAGCATGATTTTTTTCTGAAAACAACAATAATGGGCAGCTCCTTGTCGAAGGCGTGAAAGATCTGTGCCCCACGGGAGCTCGTTAATTTCCGGGATCTGTCCCCACCTACCTACTGTGTCTTCCTTGCCCAGCCCTCAGTACTGTATAGTGCATTGCATCCTTCAAAAAACCAATCCCTCATTTCGGCTCGAATCCTATCACATGCTTGTGCTGGGTTCCGTTGCTGTTGTTGTACAGCATCACAAATCCAACCTCACACAATGTCGTCCGCGTTTCTCAAAGCAACAACTTAATGAGGGTTCTATAGTAAATTACACTAGAAAATGGTCTTGTTGCCCAAAGTGAAAGGTCTGGCCAAGCTGCACACGAGTTTCGCTCGTGCGGTCGAGCGTGAGTTTCTTCTTGTCTTGTTATTACTGTAGTGGAGATGACAAAGGACAATAAATCCGTTCCGTATTTTTGAAGTACAAAAAACGGACAAAACGTGCCCCTTTCCCTCCCAATTCCTTCCCATTCCTCCCCTTTCGGGGCTCTTTCCCCCCCCTTACCGGACTCCCTCCCTTGGCCCCCTTCCCCGGCTACCTGCGCATTTTTCGCGTTTCCCCCGACACCATTTCAAGATTGCGTGACACCACGGCAACGCCCCAGAACCAGAACCACCACACCAAGTTGAAGCAGGTTTCCCAGCCCAGCCGCCCTCACTCCTCGGTGACAAGGGTTTGAACTTGAAAGTCACCACACCACCACGAACCTGTTGTTCGTCAACTTCAGATAGGCCACGGCATGCGCAGTGATATTTCCGGGCACGAATCCGGGCAGCTTGATTCTCTTGTGCGAAACTCCCACCACAAAACAGCCGCGCCACCCGTTGTACAGAGCCAATGGTCGCACAAGAGGAGCTCGCAGTGTCAGCATGCCTGACACTTCCGCGTCCTGTGATGTGAGACACCCCACATAAAAAAACAAATGCGCAGAATCAAGAATGTTTGGATGCCGATATGTTTCCCCCAACCGAGGGTCTCAATTCTTTCCAATTCTTCAAAAAGCAGCAATCACTGGCTACTAACAATACATTACTAGTACTAACTTCTATGTTTATGTCAGAACTTCCGAAGCCAACAGCATCAGCTGAGAGTTCAAGCATACGCTCGGATAGGGCAAGCTCCGAAACCATCAAGTCTCCACGACTCGTTGGAGACAAGGCCGTTTGAATTTTCCTATTACTACTCGCGGATGACCGACCTACTACTCGAGGCCGACACTTCCAAAAAATGGCATCAACGGCTCGGCAATCGGGACCGCTATGGAATGCAACGGTGCGATTACTGACCCTGAAGTGAGCTGAACAGCTCCTTTTCGATCAAAGTATCCGACGTAGTTCTCGATTTTTTTTTCTCCATGGTTAGTAACCATGGAGTATTCTTGGCAGTTTGGATTAGGGAGTCCCTAATCATGATGCGGTCTGGTTTTCAGAAACAGAGCCATCAAAACAGACCCGCCGAAAGTTCCTCCGGGTCACATGATCATCAAGACGACTTTGAAAACCTGCTCTGCCTCTTAAAACCTTTTAAATTTCTTCCCTGCCGTCTCGCGCGACAGGAGGACGTGATTCTTCTCACCCACGTGGCGCGACACGGCACCAGCCAATGGGGAGTCTTACAAGCGTCCGGTTTGCTGCCGCGTCGCGATAACAAGGCGTGTTGCAACCGATTTATCGTTCTGAAGAGGTATCGCCGTGAGACAGCCATCGGATCGCCTAGCAGGCGAATCACATCTGTTTAATTTTGCGAACAAATCATGCCTGGCCAATCCCGTGCTTTCTCGAGATGATGTTCCTGGTTGCAATCGCACAGGCGACAGCATACGCATGTTACAAACAGATGCATTTCCTGATTTTACAATCTGACGCTGATTGATTTGCTGTATTTTGATTCTTGCATGTTTCAGGAACTACCAGCAGAACCGCATAAAGAACTCTCAAGTGGTGAAAGCACTCCTGGTAAGACTAATTCTATTCTGTTGTTCACAGCGTTGGTTTTTTTTTTTTTTTTTTTGGCAGATCATGTTTTAAACACATCTCCGGGTACTGTGTGTGCGGATGGAACTATATATCCTCCTCATTACGTCTTGCCTTGATTATACATCTTCCCCAGGTTGCACTAAGGAGCAACAATCACGTCAAGTCATTGCCAGAACAATCACGCGCTTATGCCCTTCGCGCAGATGCTTCTAAGAAACCAATTACATCTACTATCTCCGCTGCTGAACATGGTACTACAGCATCATCACGAGAACCAGCACCTGCACCAGCAGCACCAACACCACCAGAAGCAGCAGCAGCAGCACCAGCACTAGCACCAGCACCAGCTGAAAAGCAACCAAGTCCCAGCATCACTTCGCATGACTTCAGTCGAACTGCCACGGAAGTCAACACAGACGAGCGGAGGGGAGAAGCAAACGGCACATTACACTGTAGCCGGACGTCAATCTCCCACACTGAAGACACAATTCCAAGGAGCACAAGAGATGCGTGTGAAGAGACGGCACGATATGAGGGAGAAAATGTCGATAATTCCGTGATGGACCATTTATCCCTAGCATCCCGCATCAACCAATCACCGGCACGCAGCAACGAATTCTTGGCGTGCTTGCTGCAAGCTGCTGCAGCCGCACCTGCAGCACCCGTACCAACAGCATCGGCATCAGAATCAACCGTACCGGAAGCATCGGCAGGAGGTGGAGCATTGGCCCGTGGCACGCTGAAAAGGCAGTGTTCGGGCCTGTGGGAGGGTATTGAAGAACACACGCTGGTTTCGTCAAAGAGAATAAAATCTTTACCAGAATTCTGGCAGGAGAATGAGGATCATGCTGTTCTGGTTGCAGCCAAGGCGAAGGCATACAAGGCGAGTGATGCAGGAATGGTGACCGTTGAAACAGCCGAGCCGACACTGTGGAGGGGGAGCTTGCTACTGGGAGCAGACAGCCTATCCCCATGGTAGGTGCAGCTCTTTGCATTCCTGTGTTTAAAACGGGCAGAGAAAACGGCGCAGTGAAGGGTCATAATTGTTTTGTGCAGCATCTGACGGAAATTTATGGGCAAGAAGCTTTCTGTTCTGCCAACCTTTTAGCTGTGATTCACCTTGCAACTGTAAGCTTGAGTCTTTCAACTTGTGTCCTCCTTTCTGCGTCTCTTACTCTGCAGGATACCCTACGCTGGGCTGCCGTGGTGTGAGGGAGGATGCCAGCACAACTGCCAGAGCTGCCAGGCAACCCAGCCAAACCTCGCTGGGCTGAGACCAGACGCCCTGCTAGACGCACTCTCCAGCGGGCCCCTCTCCATGGTAAACCCACCCATCCTCTTTTCAATTTCGTTTCTCAGGGTTACTAGTTATGGGCTCACCTCTTTGTTTGTTTCAATTTCTTCGGGTTTTTGTTTGTTTGCTTGTTTGTTTGTTTATTTTTGTTGTTTGTTTGTTGTTGGTTGGTTGTTCTGTTGATTGATTTTTTTCCCGTTCTCACCTCCTCCCCTCCTCTCCCCTCCCCCCCTCCTCCTCTCCCCCCTCCCCCCTCCCCTTCCCCCCTCCCCCCCCCCTTCCCCCTCCCCCCTCCCCCTCCCCTCCCCCTCTCCCCCTCTCCCCCCCCCCCTTCCCCACACTCCACCCCTTCCTGCACTCTGTGCATCTTAAGTGATGTCACCCCATCTGTTTTATTTCTGCTTTTTTTTACAGGTCCTTTTTGGGTTTTGAGTGTGCAGCCAAGTTGTGTAAACACGGTACATGGTAGCATATACAAGCAATAGGAGCATATATACAATAATGTATAAGGATATGCACATATAGTGCGCATTGTTAAAGGACAACAACTGAGTTGCACAACAGAGGCAGCACGTAGAATGCCTTTTGGGAAAACAGTCAGGTTGATGTTCCGCAAGAATGTGTGACCCAGTTGTACTAAAAACCCAGCAGCTACGGAAGGGAAACTGGGCCTAGCTCATTGTTAACAACAGAAAGGGTGGGTCATGAGGAAACTGGGCCAGACTCTTTGTTAACAACTGAAAGGATGGGTTGTGAGGGCATACAGAGGGAGTATAAGGGTACATTCCTGTGACGACACAAATGTCTCAATCCCCATTTTTACGAGTCGCGTCAAAACATTTTCCCGAGTCGCGTCAATGTCGCGTCACAAAAACTGAATGTATCGCGAAACTATGCGACCTGGCGAGATGCACTGACGAACGCATTTGATTGGGTGACACAGATGACTGTACACCCGTTCCTTCAATCGATTGGCAGGGGTGTGGTTTCGACGCGCAGGATTGTTTCCCACGCGAAATTGGCATCGTAGGTAGACCAGGTGCATTGACATTTGGGGCCGCGTGCGATTTTTTTATCAATGACGAGTCTGTTTACAATTCGATAGCGACGTCAGCGCATTTCACGCTGATCAATGAAAAATATAGTCATGGTCGTTGACACGCGACTCGCGTTTGAGACACACTACATTCTATGTTGTTTTTGGGTGTCACAAAGCGATTGAGACATTTGTGTCGACACAGGAATGTACCCTAACTAACATTTCATACCCTCCATGGGGCAAACCGCCTACAAAGTACACATAGAAAATGTTTAGGTGTTCATTGACACACCCTCTAGGTTAGGTAAGGGGTGATGCAATCTGAACCGTCTTATAGGATCGTCTCAGGTTGATCGCACGGAGTGTAGCAGCGGAAAGTTTGAACAATGTCGGGTACGGACTCTGTCAGTAGAAGGAGATTTGAATCTCGACAGAAGTGACTAACACAATGCGGTATAGTTTATATAGGAATACAGTGGAATACGAAAGGTCCTAGCTAGCCATGTACTCTGAGGGGGTACATTCCCCTTAGGGCTAATCTAGAAGCAGGATCGCAACTGTGCGGCTCGGTAACCGTACGCGGTTCGGTAACCGTTTGAACTTTTCCCGCACTTTTCATTTCGAATTCTTCCTGCTTGCAACCGTCTTCGATAACTGTCTTGACGCTTGGTCTTTCGTCCTCGCTGTAGTCATCTTCGCGTTAAGGTTTCGTTACTTTAGGAATGTTCAATCATTCCATATCGTAACACTCCCCTTCATTCCTGGAGTGGCGAAGTCTTGACGCGCTTGGTTACACCGCAGATGGCTCCACAGTGGTGGTACTGCTGACGTGGCAGTTTCTTGGTGAGGAAGTCGGCTGCCATGTCACCGGTGGGGCAGTAAGTCAAGATGACTTTGCCCTTGTCAACTTCGTCTTTGACGAAGAAGTAGCGGAGTGCGATGTGCTTGGTGCGGTTGACGAAACCAGGCTTGTGTGCGATTTTGATCGCGCTCTGGTTGTCGCAGTGCAGTTTGAAGCTTGCGGACGTCGCAATTTTCGCCTCCTGAAGCAGTTCCTGGAGGTAGAGTCGTTCGCGAACGTCTGACGTGGCGACGATGAACTCAGCTTCAACAGAGGAGAGCGCCACCATTTCCTGCTTCTGGGAAATCCAGGAAATGGGTCCTGTTGGCTCGAGGCGGAAGAGAAAACCGGTTCGAGACCGTCGATTTCCAGGGTCGGCGGCGTGATCTGCGTCCACGTATCCAACGAGGTTGAATGAGCGAGACGCGAGAGTGGAATAGGTGAGTCCGATGTGTGGTGTGGAGATGAAGTAATGGAGGGCGCGCTGTAAGTCCAGCATGTGCTCCCCTTCAGGCCGCTTGGCATACTGAGCGAGCTGACTCGCGATGTAGGACAAGTCAGGCCTGCACGTCACAGCGGCGAAGAGAAGGCAGCCGAGTTGTTGCTGATACTGCCGGTGTTCGACGGGATTGAGGGGCTTGGAGATGGCAGCGGGAGCGGTTGCCGGGGTGCAGTAAGGGGTTGAGAGGTTGGCTGGTTTGATGTTGAAATTGGTGGAGAGAGTGTCTGCGTACTTGGCGGCGGAGAGATGGATGGCGTCGTCAGCATAGGTGATGTTGAGTCCCAGAAATTGAGTGACAGAGCTGTTGCTAGTGATCTCAACGCGGTTGCTGAGGTTCTTCTCGAACTGCTCGAGTAGGGTGCTGCTGGTGCCGGTGTAGAGCAGGTCATCCATATAAGCTGTTAGGAGGATGTAGTCTCCGCGGTAGTGCAGACGGTACATGCCAGGGTCATGGGGCAGTTGGGTGAAGCCGATGTCTAAGAGGATTTAGTGAAGATGTTGCTGCCAGAGGCATGGTGCCTGTTTGATGCCTGTTTGATGCCGTAGAGGGATTTGCGGAGCTGACACACGCGGTTGTCGCCATCGCCGTAAGTGTGTGGTTGTTCGACGAAGATGAGCGCATCGACAGGGGCGTAGAGGAAGGGGAGGTGCTTAGCGGCTGCGATGGCTAGTAGAATGCGGAAGAAGGTGTGGCGGCTGACGGGAGCGAAGGTTTGGTCGAAGTCCACACCGTGGCGTTGATCGAAGCCGCGGACGACCCAGCGGGCCTTGAATCGTTCGATGGTGCCATCTGCCGAGGACGCGTCCCCCCTTCAGTGCTGCACGATCGGCGAGGACCCAGGTGTCTCGAGCTTCGAGAGCGGCGACTTCGGCGTCCATCGCGGTGCGCCATTCCTTGGCGTAAGGACCGGTGAGTGCTTGTCGTGGGGTTTTGGGTTCGACCGCCTTGGGTGGGTGGGAGACGGCTGTGTGCAGGCCCAGAATGTGAAGGCCAGAGATGCCAGGGCTGTAACGTTGGTCACTGGTAACTTCCACGACGTCATCGTCCGAGCCGTGGCCGTTGGATGGTGTTGGGTTGAGAAGGGAATCCCGCGAGGAGTCGAGGGGAGCGCGGTCTTCGTCGTCGTCCTCATCGCTCCATGGGCGAGGGTCGGGTTGGGGGTCCGTGGGGTCTTGTTCTGCCAGAGCTGCTTCCGCTTCGTCATCAGGAGTGAAGAAGCTGCGCGGGGGTTGATCGTAATCCGCGACGTTGGTTTCTCCTCTGGTGCGGTCAGTGTGGCGATCGCATTGAAATTTGCGGATCCTGAGGTCTTCGTAGAAGATGACGTCGCGAGCCGCCACCACTTGGGAGGTATCGTGGCCGAGGATGTTCCAGGCGTTGTGCTCAAGGCTGATGCCGAGGTGCACGCCCCAACGCGCGCGACGTTCGAACTTCCCCGTGGTTGCTGCAGGTGGCCGATATTGAACCATGCAGCCCCAGACGCGGAGCATGGAGACGTCCCCCTGCTTGCCAGTGAATTTCAGGTGAGGGGAGAGGTTGTCAGTGTTGGCGGTGGTGCTGAGCAGATTGTGAAGGCGAACGGCGTGGTGCATGGCGTAGGGCCAGTACTTCGCGTCGACGTCGCTCTGCTGCAGGACTTTCGTCATGAGCGTGCGGTTGGTGCGCTCCGCGACGCCCTGTTGGGGGTGCGCGTAAGGCAGGGAGAGTGTGTGCACGATGCCTTTGTCCGCGATGTAGTCTGCGAACTTGTCGCTCTTGAATTCGGCTGCGCAGTCGGTTTGCCAGATCTTGAGTGTGCAGCCTGATTGGGTTTCGGCGTTGGCATGCCAGACTTTGAAGACGTTGAAGCGAGAGTGGGCGTCGACGAAGGTGAGAGTGTATTCTTCGCCGTTAATGCCGGTCTGGGTGAGAACGAGGAAGTCGCTGTAGACCTTTTGAAGTTTCTCATAGCGGTTTGTGCCAGGTTCGAGGAGCTTCGGGACCGATGTGGCAGTCGGTGCGTTGAGAGGTGGAGGCTGTGAGCGGGGTTCCATCTGGGCGAAGTAGTGTGCCGGGTAGGAAAACTTGTGCGCGGATGCAGTTGTTGAGAACCTCCTGGGAGGGATGGCCGAGGCGTTTGTGCCAGAGGTCGCGTTGAGAGCGGATAACGGGTGAGCGGGCATAGAAGGCAAGTAGTGTGTTGAGACCGGCGGGTGTTGGTGCAGGGATTGGCTGTGGTGAAATGGACAGTCCAAGAGCAAGAATGGTTTCTCGTGCGGTGAGATGAGGAGGTGCGTCATCCGTGTCTGCTGTTTCCTCGGGGAGGTGTGGGCGAGGCATGTGATGAGGTGGTAGGGTGTGAGGAGCTGTGGGTGGGGGTGGGTCTGCGGGGCCGATGGGTGTAGATTCAGTTAGCAGGGGGCTCCGGGGATATGTGCGGTATGGCAGGATGGTATCGTGGTCCGTGGGTGGTCGAGAGTCTGCTGACAAGGCCCAAGAGTTGGTGGGTGAGGCGCGTGATGGAGGTATTCCGAGAGGGTGGGGCGAGCCGTAGGGGCCAGCGGCTTCCGCGGCGGCTTCGGCTTCGGCGTGCGCGATCTCCTCTTCGATTAGTTCTTCCTCCTCCAGTGAGGGTGTTCCCCAGGTTGGCGCAGATGCTCCCCATCCAGAAGTTGTTCTTGCGGCTCCCCATCCAGTTCCAGTGTTGACCGTTCCCCATTCCCCAGCTGCTTTTGCTGCTGCTGCTGCTTTGGTTTCTTTGTCAGCGCGGCGGCGTCGCTCTTCTTCTTCGTGGCGTTGAAACTCCTCCGTTGTCATGGTGCAGTGAGACCATGGGTGGTCAACATGGTATCGTTCCCAAGTCAAGGATAATGCACTGTTGTTGGCGTCGAATGCGCCAGGGCCGATGTAGCGGGTGAGAAGATCGAGGCGTTCATGGACAGTGGGGTCAGTGCCAGTTCTGCGGTGCTGAAACACGGTGAGTGCTGCAGCGAGTTCTCCGTCCCTCATGCCTGTTGGGTGAGGGGTCTGCCACTCGGCTTCTTCGACGATGTCCAGGGGGGGAGGAGGA